GGACAATATATTTGTGGTCACTGACAAACGTAGTCTGTTGTGTGGAACAAGGTTACTCCAGTAGTTTTCCAAAGGTTAGGCAAAGCAAGGCCAAGTCCTTGCCTGGATTTGATCTGGCCACAAAAAGTCCTTGGAGCCGCTAGAAACCAGGGTGTTGGCCTTGGCTTGGGTTGGCTTGGCTTGGCTTGGCTTGGCTTGGCTTGGGTTGGCTTGGCTTGGCTTGGCTTGGCTTGGCTTGGCTTGGCTTGGCTTGGCTTGGATTGGCTTGGCTGCTGGGCTTAGGCTGCATAAATAACTCAGTGCATAAATAACTTAAAATGAAAAAGATGCAAGAGAGATCACTAAGCCATTCCAATAAATTAAAAAAAACTCATCCTTTCTGGCATGCTAAAAGCTTGCAAGAAGTGTGGTGAAGTTAAAGAGAAAAAAAAGATGCAAGAGAGATCACTAAGCCATTCCAATAAATTCAAATCTCCCACTTATATTAGTGTGCTAGTCTCTATTTTCTTGAAAACAAAACCCAAAAGTGAACCTAGATAGCTATATAAAATATATCTTTACTAGGTAAAAAGGGGATATTTCTATTTGAATACATTCCTTTTCTTTTCCCTTTTCTCACCAGATATCTCTGTTCTTTTCACCTGTTTTCCCCACTTCAAAAAGGTTTCTTTTTGTGATAGATGGCTTTTCCCAAACATTTGTTATTTTCGTGCTAACTCTTCGATTTTCTTCTCTCTCTCTTTTGAGGATTCAGCTTGAAATATCCCTCTTTTGCTTTCGGACTTTCGGAAAATATTTTTGTCTCGAGAAATGTTCTGTTTTTGTGCAAAGCGGGAGTTTCAAGTGCTCTCTCTTCTTTCAGATGAACACAATTTTCTTTTTTCTTTTCTTTTCTTTTCTTCTATCCAACAGACAGCTCTGATCAATCGCTTTTTTCGGATGTTTTGTTTTTGTTCTGAAAATAAGATAATCTTTCAAGCTTGTTTTTTTTACACTTAAAGCTAGGATTTGTTTTTGTTCTGAAACTAAGATAATCTAAGATACTGAAACTAAGATAATCTTGTTTTTTACATTTAAAGCTAGGATTTATTTTTGATAAAGTTAAATTAAAAACATTGTCCTTATCATTGTCATTTTTTTTATTTCTTTATCGTAAGCAGTCTATTTTACGCTAAAATTTCTCATAACCAAAGCTTGGAATTCACCTCAATTACTTTTTATGCACAAAATGGCAAAACGAATCCTTTCTAGTGCACTGAAAATATCTTTTGGTTAGCTAGCTTGAAGCTTGAATAGCTTAAAGCTTTAACAAAAGGCAAATTTAGCCGTTCCATTGTACTCCAAGGAATCAAATTTGCATAGTTATAAGTTATTGAGCTATTGAGTTATTGAGTTATTGTAATAAATCTTTTGCTATTGTGAATCGGGATTAAAAGTAAAGGTCAGGAGACCAATTTTTACCAATTAACTGAATAATTAATCCCTTTTGTTTTGACTTTTCCAAAATTTACTATCCAATCAGTTTTCAACTTTCAACGGGAAATGGCTTGTTTATAAATTTGCTGGTTTTGACTTTGAATTTGTTGCTTTTGCTTTGATTTATTCCCTTGTGTAGACACATTGCACAACACTAACGTCATTTTGCCCATTCTTAGAAAAATTTGAGATTTATTTTGTGACGGCATGATTGAAGGGAATGGGAAATGGGCTGTAATATCCAGAAGAGAGCAGAAATCCCTTTCTACCCCTTCTCTTCCTTTCCCCCCCTTTTTTCCATCCATTCCATCCATTCACCGGCTATTGATTTTGAATTTTCATTCACCTTTCATTCGTTTCTCAAAATAGCCAAAACATTTTTTTTACGATTTATGACCATTGGAAAACCTTATTCCCTCAAATTTTACATCAAAAAAGATCCACATAAATTGGGATTTTTGTGAATTTCCCCCGCTTTAAATCGACTACATTTTAGGATACAATTTGGCTTTGTGTAAACAAATGTGAATGCCAAAATAAAGCTTGAATAAATCTTGTATAAATCTTGTATAAATTTTGTATAAATTTTGTATAAATCTTGAATAAAACAAGAATGAGTTACATTACAAATATAAAACTTTTAAGGTAACTCTGAACGTTTTAAAAGTTCAGTACCAAAATCAGAATTTCATTTGATTATATTTCTAAAAATTTTGGCTCATTTTTAAGGCTCATTTCAATTTTGGCTCATTTGTAGGAAACTGGGGGGGTGGGACAAATGCGACCTTTTTTTTGCTCACCTGGACATTTGCGCACCTTTTTTTGCTGGAAAAGGCCTTAGGAAAGGTCGTAGAGCTTCGAAAATATTTCCACATAAGGGAATCGTATGCGTAGATTCAGAATTTTGACAAATCAGAGCTCGCTGACACGTCAAATTTAGGCTAAAAGGCAAAAACTACGCAACTTAACGCTTTTCCGCAGTTTTTATCTTTTAGCCCAAATTTGACGTGTCAGCGAGGTCTGATTTGTCAAAATTCTGAATCTACGCATACGATTCCCTCATATGGAAATATTTTCGAAGCTCACAAAAATGTTTTCCCACTATCACTTGGATTTCCGTGAAATGTCACTCAGAAATTGATTGTCGTTGAATCCCCCGTTAAAAAAAATGATATTCAGCAAACATAGATCGAAAAAGTGTCAATCGTTTCGATCAAATTTGATAAAAATATGTTTTTGAAACATGCTGACTAGTTCACCGAGTGCCTGTTTTTCCCATTTTCTCGCCGAAAAGAGTGACGCTATTTTTGGCGACTCCGAGAATTGATCAACTCCACTCCATTCGCTCAAATCAAGAAATTTTCACAAAACTTTTGCCCGCAAAAGTTTTCCACCGACCCTTTCATCAAAAAAATGAACACGTGCTTTTACCACTGTTCAGTTTAACCCATGATTTCTCTCCGATTCTCATGTGAAATGCTTCTCTCATCCACCCACACACTTGTCATTTCTCTCTCTTTTTGACCATTTACGGGCAGATACAGCAGAGTCGAGACTTCTCTTTCATTTCATTTTCCCCCTTCCTCTCACCCTTGATCGGGACGCTTCGGCAGCCTCAATCGCAAAAAAAGCCCATCACCGACAAAATACATCGATTTTTGTCGGTGTGGATATGAGAATTTTTTTGATTCTTAAAATTGGATTTTTTTTGAATCATTTTATATTATACATTTCCCATTTTCCCATGTTCCCTTTTAAACCGTTAAACCGTTAAACTGAAATCTCGTTCTCATTCCAAAACTATAGTCTGATATTTTTCTTGAAATTTACTTCAGAAATCTCCCTTTTGTCTGAAACTTGTTTTCAAAGTTTTGACATCTCAGTCCAAGTTCACTTTGATTTCCCGAATGTTTTCCTCTACGGCTTCCAGATTATATTTTTGTGTGCCATTTTGGGCGAAACTTTTCGAAAATCAACCTGAACTTGGTTCTAAGATCACTTGGATGTGTGGGGTTTCTAAAAACTTTCTCCCCATACAAGAGACGAATCCCTAGAATCTCCCCAAACAAATAGAATTTGATAGGTGGGGATGAATGAGGGGAAAGGATGCGGTGAATTAATGGGCGGTAATTTATCAGCTCGCGCAAGTAAGCGCTATTGAAGCAAGGAGTGGGTGTAGAAATCGAGAAGTGGAAAGGAAAAAGGGGGGTGTGCATCGGGGTGAGCCAGTTTGGCATCTCGCATCTCGGTGCACCCCTTGCCTGTCTCTTTTCCTTTCCCACTTCTTCACTCGCAAACCGCTTTGCATTGAATGGATTTTTTTCGTCTTGATCAAGCGCCTCTTTTTTTCTTCGATGGTGATTAATTGGTGATTAGAGTTGATTTTTTTCTTCTTCAATCGCTTTGCAACAATTAGTCGATAGTGGATTTTTGCCGTTGTCGAGTTTAATTGCATGTTCTTATGGCTTTAAAAGATCAAACTAAAATCGGATATAATTGTCTGATCTGTTAGGGTTGATCATGAAGATTTACGTTCTTTACAACTCCCATTACTTCATAGTTAAATTTCAAATTAAAACAAACAACTTTTTAAAAAAACCAGAACTGTGTGCAACTTTGCTTTTCTAAAAAAAGTATGCTTTTGTAGGGACAAAATTAAGAGAAAATTAAGACAAAATCTAAATTTTCAAAATTTAATATTTTCCTATTTTGCGGGAAAAAGACGCAATATAAAACTTCAACAAAAAAATTGGGGGTGGCTACTTTACGCCAAATTTTTTGCTCAACTCGCCATAACTTTCTTCTAAGTCAGCCAATCTTTATGATTTTGGTGTCATTTTGTTACACTTGTTGAGATCTACAAGACTTAGAAGTTATGGCCGACCTAGAAGAAAGTTATGGCGAGTTGCGCAAAAAAATTTGGCGCAAAGTAGCCACCCCTAACTTTGGTCACCACTTTATTCGCGCAACGCAACTGCAACAAATTTACTAACCAAGGCTCTGATTATTATTGCTATCATGAAAAAGCCGAACGGCGGTTCTTCTTCTCTTTCTCTTACTCGTCTTCATACCACCATTCGTCGTCGTGTCGATGATGGTGTAGACTGTGAAAGGGGAAAGAGAAAGAAATGCAGCAGCAGCAGTGTGCCGCCGTGTGCGCACTATTTGCCGTGTTGACCGGTTGAGCGGCGGGTCTCTCCCCTTCCTGGTCTCTTTCGCCGTCTCTTCCCTCTCCCTTTCGCCCGCTCTTTTCCCAATTTCTTTTCCCTCATTTCCCATCATGTATCAGCACTGTGTCTGGGTGTTTAAAAAAAATCTTGTGCTCTTAGCACACCTTTCCTTTCGATACTCTCGTCTCGGTTTTGAATTGGACTTTTTGAGATACAATAACGTTTTTTTTATTTTTAGCGGAGGCAGCGAAAACCGGTGAAGAAAGTGGGGAGCTTGGTGGAAACTGTGTTCTGCGCTCTTTGGAGCATCGAACTTTTCTCTTCTCATTGACTCTATAAAAATTCGTACACAAAATGGCGTCGCCTGCTCTAGAAAATGGCGGATTTCAATCGGAACTCCACAGGTTTGTAATTTTGTGATTCTTCCTATCAGGCCGGAACCCAGAAATACTAAAAATTTTAAGGGAGGGGGAAGCCAACCCTTTTACTTTAGTCAAAGTAGAAATTCACTCCAATTTGTCTTGCTGTCAATGGAGGGGCAGTTGCCCTCTCTGCTCCACCCTCGGTATGAGCCTGATTCCTATCTAGCTTGCTAATAATACGGTCAAGCAGTAAATCTAAGCTGTCGATTTGTTCTAGTTTGACGTATTCTTTTCTTTTGCAGGTTAAAGGTCTCGGCTAGCAATCAGAAGGTGGCACTGGTGAAATTGACGGATGAAATGATTGCTGCCATTCAAAAAGCCCAGTCCTCGCGAGACTCGTTTAAAATTTCAATCCAAAAAGAGGTTGGGAGAATTTTGTTTTTTATTTAAATCTTATTTTAGGGCGGAGTAATAACTCTTGGAGGGAATCAACAATTTTCGTTCTCGATTCAATCTATGGCCAGCACTCCCTCTGATGTGATCCTTCAGGATAAAAGAAGTGATAGGACGGGCAACTACCAAATGCTTGGCACTATTCAGCAAAAGTTTCAGGTATGTTTGCATTTATTTTGTTAAGTTTTGGTACTCTCACATCAGTCATTCGGTTTCTCATAGCTTTTTTTTCTTTTGGAATGGCCTACTAGATCTACGGGCAAAATAGCAGTTTTTTTAAAATGCTAACTTTAGATTCAAGCAACGGATAAGTCTTTGGATGAAACTCGACATCGTACAAAAATGCTTCTTGAACAAGAGTCTCAAAAAACAGCCAAAGAAGTTCCAAAGTTAGTTTTTATCTACCTTCAATAAAAGTATGCACCAGTCCTATTTGTTAACTTTGATTTAGGAATCAAAGGGATATTTTGGCCAAAAAAGTCGCAAACACGATGCCAGGGCGGTTTGATCGAAAATTCAATTCATCAAACACGCATCAAACATCAAAACCAGCGCCTTTTCCGCTCAAAAATAAGGTGCGTTCAGTGATTAATAACAATGATACGTTTCTTTTAGCCTACTACAAGCTCATCGATCTCCAATTATTCATCTTCTTCAAGTTAGTCGAATCATTTGCGGTCAACTCTAACTAGTATTTTAGCTTTGCCAGTGACACATGGTCGCCCAAATATGTCTCCCAATCGGAAAGCAGAATTGATGAAAAAACCGCTTCGAGTAAGTATCTTTGCTTTGAGTAATTTTTGAAATATAAAATGTACAGTTATTTTTAGGCACGAATTATTCATTTGACGGCAACTGGCAAATATTCATCGAACAAGGAGATTTACGAGAAGCTGAAGCGTGATGGTCTCTCGGATAACGAGGATAATTTTACAGTCATCTCTAAATTGATTAACGAGGTTGGGTTTTAGGTAGTTAATTTGTGTATTGGTTTATTTTAGGTCGGTGAAATGGACGGTGATGGACACTTTTCTCTTCGGCCATCCTTGATCGGGGAAGTTGACCTTCATTGGACTTGGTTTACAACCGAAGATAAAGCAAAAGTACGCCGGATCAGTCAGGTAGCTATTCTGTTGACGATTTAGCATCTAGAGCACAAAAATGTTTGTTAGAAAATCATCCATTACTTTTTGATTTTAGCCTTCCACATCAGCCGGATTCGCGCCAACCCGAAAGAATGGAATTGACCGTGCTCAACGCACAGCGGCTGACACCCCACAAAAGGATTCCGAAAGTTCGAAAAGCGAATTTACCTTTTCAACTCAGGCGTTAAGGTTCACCTCCATTATCTGGAGCATCTCAACCGCCGGCGCGCACTGCATATCCAAGCACTGTTCAGGGGAAGAAAGTATGCCTGACTTGTAAAGATGATAATGCTAAATATGTTTTAGGTGAGCCCTCAGATGGCACGCACCATCCAACAAACTTTACCAAGTGCGCCTAAACCTCGTACACCTCCTCAACCTCAACAAACCAACGTGTATGTGCTTTCATACTCATTTGATTCTATTTTTGAATTTAGGAATGTTCTCGATACTCTGCTTCCAAATAAGCGCAAAGCTCACGTACCAATGGAACAAAGAAGCGAGAAGAGGCAACGTCAAGAAAGCGAAAGCCCTCCTCTGCTACAAGTACAGCAGTATCATCGACGAGAAAAGGATTCGGAATCGGAAAAGGCAAGAGATAAAGATGAACAGGAAAGACAGAGGCTCCTTGCAGCAACGGGAGGATCGACTGGCGGTTCATCTGTAAGTTTTTGCTATTTTAAAGGAAGTTCTGACTTTTAAAATTTGAGGTTTCGTCGACTTCTTCGGGTGTTTCTTCTCGCTTGAGCAGCCCAATTCTTTCGTTTCCAATTCACCCGTCTCAAGATTGGAACAAAGAAATCCCTGAGGTATCGCTTTCTTGCTCGCGCAAATTTTATCATCTATCTAGATTAAATTCGCTCATGAAGTTGACAAATACTATCAAGCGTTTGATGCTGACTACCCAAGCTACATGCAGTGTTTCGATCAACTGGATATGGTATAAAGAACAATCAGTCGTTTAGCTATTTCCTTTTTAGGTTTCAAAAGAATTTCGAGATCTAGCTGAACGTTTGGAGAAAGCACGAAAAGCAAAAGGAGATGATTTGGAACATGTTGAGCGAAGTATTCATTCAAGGTTGGTTTTTAATTATTTTTCATCAATCTCTCTTGAATTCAAAAAACACTATCTTCAGGTACGCACGTTACGAGAAAGATCAAGAATTTCTTCGAACTCGGCAGAGACATGCGGATCTACGTGCAAAGTTGAGCCTGTTGAAGAGTCGAATTGCTGCTTGGGAAGGACGCGAGAACTCACTAAATGCCTCAACCCTTTTTTAATAGAATGCTAACGAGATTTCCGATGTTTTATCCTATGCAAGTTTCATTGTTGATTTTCCATTACTTCATCGTTATCTTTGCATGCAAGTTGTTTTAAACATCGGTATTGGTTATTATGGGTCTGAAACATATTAAATTGTAGTTAATAATTACATGACTATTACTTGTTCGTGCTCATAATTTCATTCCTGCTGTGTCTCCTTCGCTAGTTTCTAATTAAGGTCCGCTTTTTGCTCAGTATTTTATGTGTTACCCGCTAGTCGGTCTTTAAATTTCGGGGTAGCCTTTATGCTTATTGAAAAGTTACAAAAAAAGTTTGCTATTCAGTTTTATTACTCGATTATGCCGTTGATGTATGTATTACCGATGATAACGGGTGGCTTGATCAAACCGTTTGGGAAATCATCTAGATTCACCTACCCATACTCGTGACTTCTTCGCCTTCACTAGATGATTTCCCGTGTGACCCGGGTCCCCCCTCATGCCATCATCAATTTATGTAACGGGTGCTCGAAATGTTGTGCTTTTTGATTGATAAACTTATGACGTTTTCAAACACATAAATACATAATCAATAGATTTATGACGTTTTCAAACACATATAAATATACAATCGTGAAACAATATTCACTTATTAATACTGAGACGATTAAGAAGTGCCTCGACGTATGTTTGGTGAAGGACCGAAACAAAGGAGTCATCATTTTGAAGGAGATGCAAAAGCGATGTCCGAAATTGTTCCTAAATCTTATAAATACTATGTTGAATCAAAGACAAGTCACCTTATCTAGCAGTGGGATATCCGTGTCCCTTTCGATTTCGATGCCTTGAAGACTGGTTGAATCAATCTAAACATTAAAAGTAAAATATTTGCGAGGAATTTCGCGGATACCTCTGACGCACAATGATCTTCGCTACCATGTACGGATAGAGTCGAAAATGCTTTAAGGCTTGCCGCAGAAGCCGATACGCCCATCGTTGGTGAAGGAATTTTTGCTATCTTTTCATTTTGCTAAATTTCATCTGAATATTACACAGTAAGCTGCAAAAACCTTGATCAATTGCTTTTCCAAATCAGCAACGTGCATTCCAGAAACATTCGAGGGTGGGGTCTAGATTTTACTTTCAGTTACGATTTGAATAAAAAAAATTACTTCTCTTCCTGAAAGGCGTCCTGAGTCGAAAATCTGCTGCATAATTGACACGCCTAGACCGGATAAACTTTTTGTCTGATTTAAAAACTACCTTGAGGAGCGATGCTCAAAGAACTACCAGGTTGATCATCATTCCTTGGTTTTTGTGGAGCCGGCGTGGTCTAAATGATCAAGACGTTTTAAATAAAACAAAAGCCAACTTTAAAAATCTCACCTTGGGCTTGTTTAACTTTTGTAATATATCCATAACAGATGAATTTTCGCTAGCTGGCAATGCTGTGGGTAAGGCGCTAGTTTGCGGAGGAGCTGGACTGGGAGTTGCATTAACCATCTTGGGAAGGGAAGTACATTTTTCCTGAAAAAATAACTATGCAAAATTTTAACTTGTTATAGCACTTTGCCGGCTTGAAGGTCGCTGATAATTTGATTCAAAAGCAAAAAGATGCGGTCGCAATCTTCGTTCTTGTAAAACCAGAAACCCCGAATCTCCCCTAAATAAAATTGGTTTTACCGTTTAAAAATAAAATTTTACCATCAGCTTTGCAGAAGAAGAGGTATGGCTTCTGGATTGTGACTCGAACTTGTGCGGTGATCGGTTCAATCATATCATTCAGTGACTGACGATTAGCAATAATAAGACTAAAAAAAAGTAAGTTGAGGAATCAGACATGGAATCAACCTGTAAAATGGCACGTCCACTCGTTCGTAGACGAACATTGACCTAAATTAAAATTGAACAAGCATTAAAATTTAAAATATACCCATCGACGTCCGTTTTTTCCCATTGCTTCGAAATATTGTTGAATCTGTAGAGTGCGGTGTGAGTGGTCTAAAAATAGGCATACAACCTGACAGAACAAGTTTTTTATACGTTAGACAATCTTCAAAAACCGAATTCAGTAGTTTTCACCAGAGAAATTCTGTAAATCAAACCACAAACCTTGTCGAGTATTGCCTCAGCACAGGGGTCGATATTCCGAATCGAGCTCAGATTTTTCGCAACATTTGGATCCATTTTTTCTGAAAATTGACACATTAACATCGGAAAACAAATAAAAAGAAATGCAAACTCAAAGAAAATAAGCGGTACTTTGAGTGTTTTCCATATTTACTAAAAAACTAGTGCCGCTCTTTATGGCTGATTTGTCTGATAAGGGTGTTTTAACATGGAACCTACTGCTACTGCAATTTTTTCAAAAATGTTTATCTCTTTCTCTTTTCCCCATCTTGTACTCTCATTTTGCGCGCATTTCTCTAAATGTTGCGCCAATTGGGTCTCGTCTGGAAAGACTACGATAATAGACGCCAAAAATTTTCCCATTTGCAAAAGCAGTGTTAAAATTTTGCGCTTTGCCAATTTTTTTTACTTGTTTCCTTCTTTCTTTTTCAAAATAAACTAATATTTCTATTTTCAGGGTACATCTATTAGGTAGTCTTTACGACTCTTCTTTTGTAATTCTTTGTAAACTCTGTCGTAGTTCAACATCTGTCTAATTTTTGTTTAATCAAAAATCGTTCTACAATCAAGGTTGGCTTTTTGAATTTTGAACTTTGGTCATCTTTTTCTAGAATTATGAACGGGCACGTGGATTCAACGGAGAATGGGAACGTTAAAGAGAATGGACATAACAACAACAAGGGAAATGAGGACAAGTTGGTTTTTTTTAGTTTAACAATTGATTTTTGAAGTTTTAGGAAGATTTTTGTTGGCGGTATCGCCTACGATGTGACTAACGAGGATCTCACGGCACACTTCGGTGAATTCGGAGAAGTCGCCAACGCTCAAGTCAAATTCGACCGACAGACTGGCCGCTCGCGTGGTTTCGCTTTTGTCGAGTTCACCACTGGAGAGGCATGCAAGACTGCACTTGGAGCTCGAGAACAAACCATCAAGGGAAAGAGCGTAGGTTTCTCGGTGTTATTTAAACTTTAGGCGTAAATTACATTTTCTTTATTGCATCATCAAATGAAGTGACTTTAAGCCAAAAATAAAACTATCAAAGTACTAATCATTGTGTTATTTAAGCTTATTTAAAAAGGCTAATTTGGAAATTTTTAGGTAGAAGTCAAGCCAGCCAAATCTCGTGAAAACAAGAAGGTCTTCGTTGGTGGACTCCCATCGGATTTCAACGAATCGGAGCTTCGCTCACACTTCGAACAATTCGGCAAAGTCGAGGACATCGAGTGGCCATTTGACAAGTAAGTGTATTATTGATGTATGCAAGTATGTCCTCCTTGTTTTTCCGTTGACTAATCTTTTATGTGACAATAAATGCTTTCTAGTTTACTTGCTAACAGATAAATTTAGGCAGACGAAGACCCACCGAAACTTCGCCTTCATTGTCTTCGAAGAGGAGGAAGCCGCCGACAAAGCCTCTGCTCAAGCCAAACAAACTTTCGGATCTCGCGAATGCGACGTGAAGAAAGCTGTTCCTCAAGGCAAACGATTTGCTATGGGGGCAGGACGTGGAATGACTGGTGGTCGCTTCGGTCGAGGTGGTCATGCTGGTGGTGCTTGGTATGGCTGGAACCAAATGGGAGCTGTTCCTTATGGTAAGATAGCCTAAAAATTGCCGTTATATTTATTGATTATAGGAGGTGCTGCTGGATGGGGAGGCGATTGGTACAACGCTGCTTCAGCTTTCTACGGTGGTGGCGGACAGAATGGCTCATACACATCAGGTGGATATAGCGGTCAGTTCATGTGTAATGTTGAGTATGGGGCTTCTTTAAAATTAAATAGAGATTTAAAATTAAAAATTATATTTCTGAATCAAAGATTCTTTTTAGGAGGAGGAAACTATGACTACCAAGGAACTCAAAGATCTGGAAACGCCAACACTCAACGCTACCATCAACCTCAACAACAGTATTGATAGTTTCCATTTTGCCTTCTTTGAGAGTCTCTTTTTAAGTTTTTTGTTTCTTTTTCTTGGGATAAATGCCCACAAACTACGTACTGGATTCTTTTTAAAGTTACCAACAGTCTTTTGTACAAAATAGCCGATAGCTTGTTTCCCTTTTCCAACTTGGGAGTTGTATTCCTTGATCGTTAAGATTTTGGGTTTTGTTGCTATGTCTATTATTGTAATTGTGTCTCTTTACTCCGGCACTCAAAAATTGCTCATTTTTACGATCGGAGATTTGTTTTAACTTTAACATCTCGGGACCGGTTTTTCCATATGCTAAGATGGTCTCATCTTTGCTGTTGTTGAGCAAAATTTCTGTTGCATGTCCTGTTGGTGCGTCTTCGTGAAATCTCGTTAATTATTCTCCACTTGTCCATCTCGTGGTTTGTTAGTTTTTGTCCTTTCTCAAATTGTGCTACCTCGTGTGGCTATTCGTTATGACACCCACTGCTGTCCCCCAATTTTTGATTGATGAATAAAGACTTTGCAAAAATATTTTTTTAATTACATCGTTATCACGGGAAAATATTTGGGTCAGAGTTAAACAATTAAGGTTTTGTGTACAGAGAGTGGAAAATCTTCCATCATGGGATGGAAGATTGAATAGGGAATCGTTTGAGCAATGTTTTTATTTAGGATGGCTGGTAGTTTAGAGAATTTCCTAAACCGCCCTTGTAACATCTTGACCGGTGATGGGAGAAGTATTGTCGGTAAGGATTATAGTTCAAAATTTTAAAAAAGTATTTTTTTAGGTCTCCTAAAAGGTTTCGATCAATTGGTGAACATTGTATTGGAAGATAGCCACGAACGGGTTTATTCGGAGACAGCCGGTGTTGATAAGATTCCGTTGGGACTGTACATTATTCGAGGAGATAATATGTAAGTTCCTCAATTGTTTTTTGTTTATAAATTTCTTGGGTCGGGAAAAGGGTGGTCGTAGAGCTAGGTTTCTTTCCGTCTACTCCTCTCCCTTTACACTCTCTTCGATCAATAAATACCCCGCGTTCCGTAGCTGAAAAGGCAACTTTTTGCTTAGAGCGGGGAAAAACGTTTTTATGGCGTAATTTTCAATTTTAAAAGTTTTATATATTTTCTCTTTTAGTGCTGTCATTGGAGAAATCGACGAAGAATTAGATAAAAGAATTGATTTTGAGAAAGTCAAAGCAGCTCCTCTTGCACCTATTTGGATCTCTAGTTGATTTTACTTTTTGTTACTTTTTTGAACTTTTAATTTGCTTTGTTTTTTTTTAAAAAATACAATAAATGAACGTTCATTATTTCTAGTGGTTAAACAAAGATCTCGTTGGAATAAACTATTCACCCATATCTTTCTATCTTTTGAAGTTAAATTTTGGCATTGATGTTTTCAATTGGTTCGCCAGAATTTTTTCGTATTGTTGTGTCAATACTGTGGTTTTAAAGAGCCGCGGAAAGTCTGAACAAATTCAGGTTATGGATGACGAGATTGAATTAGATTACGATTACGATGAACCCTGTTATCCAACAGAATCCAGGTAGAACAGACAAGCTGCCCAAGTATTTTACTTTCTATCTAGAGATAAAATCAGAAACAAGTTTTTCCTTCTAGTTAGGGAGTTTGCGCGAGCCAGGACTTTATCTAAGGTGTAAAAAAAATTGAAATCATCCGGCAAAACATTTTTTGCTTAGAAAATATACTAAACTAAGGTAGTATGAAACTAGGCAAGTATTTCAGTAGCGAATCGGAAGAGGAGGAGGTCGATCCATTGTTTTTGGAGTGCGTTGATGAAGTCGAGGATGAAAATGGTGTCAATAGAGCTGAAAGGCTCAAGGTAAAAAGAAAAAATGGCAGCTAAAAAGTAAATTGTAGCGAATAAAGTCGACGGATAAGCAACAAAGGGATGATCGAAGGAGAGGGCAAAGGGTATCAAGGCCGAGATCATCAGCTCGACGTGTACATGACTCTCAACCAGAAACGGCATACACACGAGTCCAAATTGTAAAGACTTAAAGATGTTTGCCGTTAAAATTGATTTTTCAGCTTTACACAATATCTTTTAGTCGAGCAGAGAGTCGCCCATTGATCGAAGACAACGGGTATATGCAAGATCCCATTCACCACGTGACCCGATAAATGAAAGATCAGCTATGAAACAGGATAAGGTAGTAAAACGCTAAAACTTGATAGCCAAATCAACAAAATTTTCAGAGTGACGCGGAAATGGCAGGAAGAAAGACGAGATCCCCTGGTTCACCATCTCATGGCCAACCGTGCAAAATCAAGGCGGCTGCACATTTGTTCTTCCCATCACCCCCAGAACGTGATTCGCAGAAATCTGTACAGCGCCACCAATCCGGTAACAGTGCACAAAGAGAAATGCCAACAATTAGACATGAACCGCCACGAGGTACTGAGGTTTCGAAGCTATAGTCAAGCTTCTTTTTAGTCCCTCCACTCTCACCGAAGCGTCGTCTCCCTCCCTCGCCACCCGAACGTCGTCCTCCTTCACGACTTGGAATGATCTCGTATCATTCAGGAACAAATGTTGAGAGGTAATAAAGCATAATAACAAACAAATAAACCCATCACTCGATTCAGAAACTCACCTCCGGTACGGTTTTTCTCTTTGCATCCTGAGCCTGGAAACCGACCAAGTTTGAGACGAGAGCCACTTCTACAGCCTCGTGTTTCTGAATTACACGACAGTCCATCAACAGACGGTTATCGATCTCGTGATCAACTAAAGTCAAATCTTGGAAGACTCGGAGATGAGATGAAACGAGAAGCGAACGAGAAGACAACGTCCAGAGATGGTAGATCACTTGAAGTAATAGAATGGCCGATGAGTACACACCATCTACTTCATCTCATCCACACAAGCAGACTCTTCATTACTTCTTTTTACATTCATTTCAGGGCACCCATCAGCATCGCCCAATGATAAGAGAACGAGAAAGGATGAATGGAAATCGGCTTCGAGAGAAAATTTGAGAAGAACGGATAATCCGGAGATGACAAGAGGATCAACGTCAAAAGAATCGAGCTTTTCTCCACGAGAACGAAATACGCATCAACGTTTGGCGAGGATTCAAGCTGCGGATACGAAGAAGTTCCTCGGTGAACAACGTTTGATTCAAGAGGATCAAAGTTTCAGAAATCATGGCGTTGATAATGAGCACGACACAAAGCCACGGATTTCAGCTGTAAATGCCCGTCAAAGTCATATGCCTGCAATTAGCTCTCGGAAACTCCATTTGACTGTTGAGGAGCAATCGGTCAAAGACCGAAAAACTCAAACAAATGTCAATAGAAATATCGTCAAAACTCAGAATGAGTCAATGGTTTCTTCAAAGCACAGCACAAATCAAAACTTGAAAAAGAAAGCTCTTGTTGAGGATCAAAGGTCTGTTAAACTAAAAGTTGCAAATGAGAAGGTTGATCAGTCATTGACAAGAGTTGCACGAATACTTTCACCGGTCAAACATCCACCAGAATGCTCAAATAAAGAGCTTCCAAGCAAGAAGCTAAATGTTCAAAAGACGGTTTTAAAAGAGAAACAAGGCAGCAAGAATCACATTAGTGAAGACTTTGAAGTAAGCGAGGCTACCAGTGATGCGCCAAATGAGAAAAATCAATCCAATCTTTTTCTAACCTTTTCTACGCCACAACGAGCCCTCGACAAAGAAGAAAAGAATCGATTATTGATGGACATTGCCAAGAAAACATATCAAGGGTTAAAGAAAACTGGAAAATGTAACGATCCGGATGGCTTTATTCGTGAAATAACCCCACCGATCGACGAGACCGACTCGGGAGCGTTGACTCCAATCTATTCCGTTGACAGTCCACTATCGCCAAATCCACTCGCCTATTTTGATGAGAAACCTTTATCACCGAGTACAACAAATGACTCGATTGAACACGACATTCAAACAATGTTCACTCATTCAATGGAAGAGCTTGTTGAGCCAGAAAAGGGACAAAAAGTACTCGATGTCATTGGGAAAACGGTGACGGAAAAACCCAAACAAAAAGCTTTTGAACCTCTTGTGAAAGTGGAAAGGAAACGGATTGAAGGGCCCTCATCAATACTAAAAAAGAATCCTGTTGCTAAAAGAGTTCATGCTGTGATTACGGGTCCAAGCCCCGAACCTCCAATAAAACAACGATCATTTTATGCTCAAAAGGCTAATCAAGGTACGAATTTATGCTAAAATCAAGATTTTTTTGAAAAACTGACTAAAAAGTGAACTTTAGATGTGAACATGAGAAGGAAGAGCATTGATATGGCGATGAGTCGATCACAGCAATATTCTGTCTATGTATGTGAAGCTTGATGATTGAAAAGCTATGAAAACCTTTTAGAATCACTTTCATTCATCCCTTCCAAGCACTAGTCAGCTTTCGGAGAGCGTTGCACAAAATGGGATCTCCAATAAGAGGTTGGGAATCGGTTTTGAAGATTGGGTTTTATTTTAAATATCAGATCTTGAAAGTATTAGATGTTGATATTCGAAACGAATTCATATAGTTCATATAGTTCATATAGTACTATCCTTGCAGATCGATGTTCGTGTTAGCAAGTGAAACACGCGCCAAAAAGAGGGAAAGATCGTTCGTTTATGAGAATGACTTTGTGGAAAACAATCGAAGGAATGTCGTGAGTTTAACAAAAGCTGAATAGTACAGTTTTGCTACCAGTTTTGCTTCAAATACTGAATATTCTATAAAGCACGAATTTTATCCAACAAATTTTTTAGATTCTCTACGATGAGCCAGCAGAGCCACCAATCTCCGTGTTCATTCCAAACGCTCAGCCGGCTCGACGCGAAGTCGTCTACGCTGATTATCAAGACGGTAAAATGAGATGAAAATGAAAGAGTAATTAGTGCAATACAATACTATCGTTATCAGTTTTGCTACCATTTTTGCTTCAAATTATAGCTTCAAAGTGATTTAAAACCAAACTTTACAACTTTACAAACTTTAAAATTTAATAAGCCAGATTTGGGCTAACTATAAGCTAATACAATCCTGCTATATTCCTACACGTTATCCATTATTAGCTTTGTTTTATAATGCTCTGGATATTAGATATTAGATATTAGATATTAGAGATTAGATATTAGCTATTAGATATTAGACTTTAGATATTAGAGATTAGATATTAGAGATTTGATATTAGATATTAGATATTAGATATTAGATATTAGATATTAGAGATTAGATATTAGAGATTAGATATTAGATATTAGATATTAGAGATTAGATATTAGCTATTAGATATTAGACTTTAGATATTAGAGATTAGATATTAGAGATTAGATATTAGAGATTTGATATTAGATATTTGATATTAGATATTTGATATTTGATATTAGATATTAGATATTAGATATTAGAGATTTGATATTAGATATTAGCTATTAGATATTAGATATTAAAGATTAGATATTAGACCTTAGACTTTAGATTTCTAAATTAGAGATTAGATATTAGACTTTAGATTTCTATATTAGATATTAAACACTCTAGATATTAGACTTTAGTTTCTATATACTCTAATTGAGATAAACTTATTTTTTTAGGCTGAATAACTTACTACTAGATTCTCAATTTGTTGAGATATCTAGTAGTAATGAGTAACTTCTAAAAAAGTATAGTAATGAAAAGAATAGTAATGAATAGAATAGTAATGAATAACTTCTAAAAAAGGTTTTTCAGAAGAAATCACCTATCCGATGTTGAGATCGACGTCTTTTCGACAGAAAAAACCCCCGCGCAAGAGAACTCAATTAGGGGAAAATAGGGATGACGAAATTTTGGTTGTTAGATATTAACGGGAGAAAGATTTAGAAAATCTAGAGAAAATATTCGCTTAAGAATTCTCAATATTTCGAGGTTGTGATTTGAATTTTAACTTTCATTTTTGGCTTTTAACTTTAAAGGCTTTAACGGGACCAGTGCATTTCTCATTTGCCAATTTGCCGAAAAAATTCCAGTGCCAAACACCGATGTTCATTCTTAGCCACTTTCAAATATGCCTTTACCCTTTTTTTTTTTCAATTTTTCAATGTGTGCCTTGATTCCTGTGATTCGATCACTTTACTTAATTTGTCCCAGATTTATTTCTTTCGCAGTTTTCAATTGATAAATGATTTTTTTTTGCTAAACAGCGTCAGAGCGAGGGTTTTGCATCCGATTATCTGCGAGAGTATCGATTGATTTTGGACAGATGTTGAGAGAGAGAGAACAATAGATTTAATCATTTCTATTCTTCTTTTCTCATCATTTGTTCACTCATTCAGAATGGCTGAAATCAACGAACGAGCCTCTTGTTCGTCACCGGCTGAGCCATCGAGAGCAAACGCATCCACAAATCAGGTAAACGGCGGTAGAATCTACGTTAGGCTATAAAAGCCAGCAATTAAGATACAAATTGGGCGGTGGCTACTTTGCGCCAAATTTTTTTTTTTGCGCAACTCGCCATAACTGCTAAGTGAGCCAATCTTTATGATTTTTATGTCATTTTGTAGATCTCAACAAATGCAAAAAAATGACACCAAAATCATAAAGATTCGCTCAATTAGAAGAAGGTTATGTTGAGTTGCGCAAAAATTTGGCACAAATTAGCCACCCCAAAAAATTGAATCAAGATATCTCAGTCCAGCTAACAATCAATTGGCTAGTATCATGCTTAAAAATATCTCGATCTATAGGCTGATAATCAATTGGGAAAAAAAATGGATATCAATAAGTTAACAAGGCTGATAATTAGCATAGACAAGATAAAGATTTCGAAGTCTATAAGATTCCAGATTATCAATCAATTGAATTGAATCAATTGAATAATATGATGCTCATTTCTTACATAAAGAGATCCCAGTCCATAGGCTGATTATCAATTGCATAAGAATACTAGAACAAGAAAGCCTTCAGGTGCGCCAACTTGCTGAGAACATGTACGATAAAATCGGTCAACTTATGCACAATCAGATTCAAGGTAAGAACGGGAAAAAGGAAACTTTTTAACGTCTTCAGGATCGATTGACGAGTATAAACTATTGGAAGATATGAATACAGCCACCGCTCAACGATATGTAATGATTTCGATTTTCTATGTCTATTCAAATGTTTTAAGGTTGATATGAAAACGGTGGCTGAAGGAGTGGGAGATAAATTGACGAAATTGAATGATAAATGTGAGTTGAGAAAAGGAAATAAATAACATTAGCTTAAATAACAGCTAAATAGAGCTTGAGAGAAATCTCTATTACTTTAAGAACACAAGTAGGCTATTCTGAATCAGTAATCAAATCCGTAATCTGAATCTGAATCAGTAATCAAATCAGTAATCTGAATCTGAATCAGTAATCATCTTATGAATCAGTATTAGTATCGAATTCACATTTCTAGATGCCTCCCTGAAGCCGTATTTGAATCAAATTGACGAGATGGAGTCGAGCACTCGACGTTTAGAAGAAGCTGTTAACACGCTTGATCAATACGTGACAGCTCTAGGTGAGTCGGAAAAAAACTCTTCTATCTAATCAAACATTTTAGAAGCAAAGCTCCAGAATATCCAAACTGCATAGTCATTTTTGAACCTTCTTTAGACCAATTCATAAAAGCATCCTACTACCATTGACCATTGATCTGCTGTGATTTCACTTATTTATTTTTGAAATTCTACCTTTATATAATTGAAAAACATTTTACAATCAATCTTTAATCTTTAGTTTATTGATTGAGGCTTCAAATACAAATTTGCAAGCTAATTTTCTATGCAACTTTCCATCATCAGTGCTAATTTTGGGAGTGGGACAAATGCGACCTTTTTTTTGCGCACCCGGACATTTGCGCACTTAGCCCATTAGCGCACCTTTTTTCGCGTTTTAAAAAAGCTCTAAAAAGCTAATATTAACCAATTTCTATTCCAAAAGTTGTTTTTCTAGGTAATTTGAGGGTGTAGAATCGAAATTTTGACATATCAGAGCTTGTGGAACCAATTTGAAAGACAAAACGGCTAAATCAAATTACAGAAAATTGTCGATTTTTCTCTTTGTATAACTCCGTCCGTTTGTTTCCACAAGCTCTGTTATGTCAAAATTTCGATTCTACGCCCTAAAATTACCTAGAAAAACAACTTTTGGAATAGAAATTGGTTAATATTAGCTTTTTAGAGCTTTTTAAAACGCGAAAAAAGGTGCGCTAATGGGCAAGGTGCGGAAAAAAAGGTGCGCAAATGTCCGGGTGCGCAAAAAAAGGTCGCATTTGTCCCACTCCCCTAATTTTTGCCGCTTCAAAAAATAAATATTTCCTTGGTAAATTCTTTTCACAAACACATGCCATCACATTTTAATGTTTTTTTTTCGAATCTTACATCAAATCACACAAACAAGCTGTTTTTGATTCCAGAAGATCGGCATAAAGTGAATGAACCCTTTTGTCGATCAAATAACTCGCGATTTCGCTGATCGTTTGTTGAAAAGTGATATACTTGAGGTAAATTTTTTTAAACTTTGGTTTTAACAGCTATTCTTTTAATGTTATTACTTTTAGGAAAGTGATTTCGAGCGTGTACAAGATCTTCTCGCCGTCACCGACTTCCAATCAATCATCTCGTGGAAAAGTGCACTATTTATCGGTAATTTAGATTCTAAACTTGTTTCTAATATTCCTGCTTGTGGTGCCTTGTCTAAAATATTCTAGAAAAGGCACTTACTTGCTTTATAAAATTCTAGATTCTAAACTTGTTTCTAATATTCCTTTTTAGGTGTCCCTGCTTGTGGTGCCTTGTTTTTGCCGAGAAATTGGTCTCTCGCCGTCTCGCTCCCGTCTCTTTCAATTCTCGGTGTCACTTGTGCTCATTTCTACCAGAATTCTCGTCTCATTCGATCATCAAGAGCTCTAGATGAATCTTTCAATCGATGTCTACATGAAATTCAAACACGACAAAGCACTTCTTTTGGGCTAGTTCCTTTATACTGGCTAAAAATATGAATCTATCAATAAACTTCTAAAATATTTTATTTTTAGCCTTAGCTTATCGGGAAACTCGTTGAACCGATGTCGACATCAGGTTACGGAAATTCTTCAATCATTGTCCAAGGATCTACGAATAAGAATTCGAAATTTGTGTCCAACGTAAGACTCTTTGTTTTTTTCTGTTCAAATTATTCATTTAGCCAAGATGAGACGAAACATTTGTATGAGAACTTTTTACCAAAAGAAGCTAAAGCTTTGCTTGGTGATGAAAATGAGGAAAATCAAACGTTTGTCAATCTTAATAGCATAAAGGTAGCTTTAAAATAACGTTCTTTTTTGAATTTTACAATTTTTAGACATTGTGGGAGTTGTGTCGCCTGTTTCGATCCGAATTCTCTTTTCATCTTTTCTGCAAAACGAGATCCAATTCGTGGAATGCTTTTAAGGAGACATGTGGAATTCGGAGGTATTTTGTGATGATAGAAGCGATGATCATTTGGTTTCAGTACATTCGACAAAGCTGCTTCTCAACTCACAAGAATCGGAGACAATTTGAATGATTGGAAACGAATAGAGAAAACCGAACAAAAGACCTTATTGGTGAAAGCTGATGGGATAAGCAGAGCGAAAGTTCAACTACAAGAATTGCTGACAGCGTGGGTTTTTAGTTTATGAGCGTAGAACATTTTATCAGTACTATGCTTGCACATTATTTTTGGCTCATTTTTAGAATCGAAAGCGGCGAACTCGATGAGAAAAGCCTCGCCACTGCCATTTTAAAGATCTATCATCAATTTTGTTCATCAAACGCTTCATTGATTGGACTAATTGATGAAAAGGCAAAGAAAAATCTCGAGCAATCTCTAGATGAAAAGTCTCAACCGGAAAATAGCGACATTTCTTACATGTATCAACCAAGAGAACAAGATGATCAGGTGCTTTTATTTACGATTTGGCGTTTATTTCTTTAATTCTAGGTTCTGGAAGCGACTGCATCGACATCAAATTACGTCAATAGTTGGCATACAGAAGAGGTGATCGAATCATCGTTAGTTAGTGTTTACGATCTATTTTAGAATGACGAATACTTTGACAAAGCATCTGGACTCATGATTCTCAAAGAGCTACAGGAGGCTCTCGTTGACCGTGCAAATGAAATGCAAATTAGAGAAAGAAAGTAAGATGTTTTACTCAATAACTCAACAAAAGTATTAACTTTTTAGAGCTCTTGCCGCTTTCTACCAAATCGACGAACGGGAATTAGACGAGAAGATTCGACAAAATGAGAGCATTTTGAAGGAAAATCAAAGGAGAGATGATGATGATGGAAATGAGGGGATGAACGAAGAAACAATACAAAAAATCGATAGAGATCTCACCGTTCGACGTCTTCATCAATTGCCGAATCTTTCCTCCGAACTCGCAAACGCTATTCGATCATCGGTTCAAGTGAAAGAAGAAATCTTGGAAACATCTGACCTCTCGGATTAGGGTATAGTTTTTTAAATCGGTTATGTGAATTTTTATGATTGTAATAATTGTTTGTTGATATAGATTTCTTTTTGTATCATTTTTTCAAAATTCAATTTTATTCAATTAACAGCACACACAAAAAACGTTTCCTAAATCGATCGAATGAAAAATTCGCGGATTTTGGCAGGCAAAGCGGGGATAATTTTTTTCTCTATCACATTTAAAAAAGCTTACAAGAATATAGTTTCAGAAAAATAAACCACAAAAAGAGTATTTTGTAAAATGCCCGTGATAAATTAACAGCAAAACAAAAATAAGGCTTGTACTTGATCAAAAAAGGGCAGCATCATCGGAAAAACATTTTCTTCAGTTAAGCGAAATTTTGGCAGCTCCAAGTTGAGTCAATTGTAAAATTTTACAAAAATCCTCTATAAATGGCGTTATTTAAAATCTATCAAGGAAAGACAATGGCTTGGGAAGAAAAAGCAAGAAATAAGTAAGTATATCTATTGAACAAATCAACAAAATAACAACAAGATAAGAAAAGAGATCAAAGAAACGGGGTTTAGAGAACTTTCTTTTTTTTTTTGTTTACTCAAGAATAGGGTTTTTGTTGTGGATCGACCTCAAAGACGAGACCCTTGAATTTATCGGGAGCACATTTCCCACAATAACCACCGCATTGACCCTCGATGCGAGCATTGTTCTGAAATCGCTAGCTAGCCTCATAACTTTGCATGGATATGAAATTTTGAGTTAATTTTTGTATCATTCGATGCGCAATTTTATTGTGCATCGAATGATAGTCAAAATAGCCAAAATGGAAGGATCGACGCTGAGAAAAACATGAAAAACCTTAAATTTTCGGAAAAAAAGGACCGACATGTTTTCGTTACAAGTTTAGTACAAAACATACAGTAACGGAAAGCTACGGTACGATACTATTGGCATACTATTTACGACATAGTTTAGATGCAAACTTACATATGTGCGATCAATTCTACTCGATGTCCGATGTCCTCTATCTTCCCATTGCAAATCCTCCGCTATCCTCAAGCCACTCCCGCGGAGATTCACTGAGAAACGACCCTTAAATTTTTTAAAATAAGCATATTAATCCATTAAATGAACCTGTGGACAATCTCGCATACTGTAGCAATCGCCAGCCGTCGCGAATGGAACCGGCAAACCGTGTTCAGTTTGAGCGAATGTGAAATCGTTGACTGAATATCTTTATGATTTCCCTTTAACGTTCAACTCACTGTTTATTCTTCTGTTCAAAAGATCGAGACGAACTCGCTTGAAACGAGTGAAACCAGCACCGGCAGCTCCTTCGGATGAACATTCACACGAATCATTTCTAGAGAATTGCTTAACTTAAAGTATATAATTATCTTATTTACCTCTCTCCATTGTATGGACATGTATGTGGGAAGATTAGTCTGAAATGAGTTTAGTTTTTGAGGATCAAGAATAATGGGTTTATTTGATTAGCTTTAAAAGTTTATCCTACCAAAGCATTGTACTAGTTAGATAGATAGATAGATAGATAGATAGATAGATAGATAGATAGATAGATAGATAGATAGATAGATAGATAGATAGATAGATAGATAGATAGATAGATAGGTAGATAGATAGATAGATAGATAGATAGAAGTGTAGAAGATAGATAGATAGGAGATAGATAGATAGATAGATAGATAGATAGGTAGATAGATAGATAGATAGATAGATAGATGATAGATAGTTAGATAGATAGTTAGATAGATCAAAAATCTTTAGAATTTGAATAGTATTATTGGCTCATAAAAGCTCATTTCTACCTTCTCCCATAAATCTCAGCAAAATTGGTCTCCGGATCGACGTTGAGATAAGCTCGCGGAATTGTCTCGTTCATTCGATGACAATGCACTCGAATTGGGTATCCATCCAATAGCACCTAAAGATATTTAATTGAAAACAATTTCACATTATCTTCCACTCATGAATATTAGCTTTTAAAAAATACCGTATACTCTGCATCGATCGCATGCGTGGTAGTCATTTGTGAGCGAATCTCTTGACAAGTCGACGGGAGACCTCAAATAAATAAAACAAATTGATGAATAGATTGATCTTGATCGAGATCAGCGCTAATTTCCGATAACACTTACAATTCCTTGTGAAACATGGCTGTGTCCTATTCGGTCTTGCTGTCAGACTTTCACAAAACGATCGAGCCACTCTTGCTCCACCTCTTCCCACACAGCGAACTTTTCGACGCCTCACTCCAGCACCACACGTTGTAGAGCACTGAAAGTTTTAGAATTGAAAACATACTTGAATTCGATCAATGACTGATCAATGATTTTGTTTATTCCTTTTTTTAAAACTTACAGATCCCCACGGTTCAGCAACCCATGTGAACTCAGCATCGCATGCATTCAAATTACAATCCTGAAAGGCCACCGGTTGGTGTAAACGACCGCATTTCTCTCGAGGCACAACTGGCTCCAACTGGAAATAGAAATAGAATGAATTTTATAGAATTTTTTGAGAGCTGGCTGGCTCGGCTCTTGTTTTAGCCTGATTGATGAACTCTGTTGCTAACCTTTGGTTTATTGCTTGATGATGAGTAGGCATGGGTGGATTTAAGGCGACATTCCACTGATCTTGATTGAGTCCCGTTACCACATGTTTTCGAGCACTGCAATTGATTTTTGTGAGCAAATAGATAGAGCAAATTACTTCAATTATCCTAACCATTACGACGAGAAGCCTGATAATTACAATGGCAATGGCAATTACAATTTGACAATGCCAATTACAATGACAATGGCAATTCAATGTTTTAAACATGACAATGACGATTCATTAAATGTTTTAAACATTGAATGAATCGTCTAATATTATTACTAGTTACCGTATTCCATGGAGCGGGCACCCATTCGTATGGACACAATTGCGATGAGCATTTCCTCGACTCGACCGGACGGGGAATGATTGCGCACATTCGTGACGCGGCTCGCACTTCACCGTCTTTCATGCAATGAACCATGCGAGTTTGCTCTCCTTGACCACATGGATCGATACACTGAAAGATTTTCGTGTTTACCCAAGAACATCATCGCTTAATCCACTATTCCCTCACTTTACTCCATGGTGTCGTTGTCCAAGTGTAAACCGGGCACGCTGCCACTTGACATTTTGTGCTGTTCGCCGGTCGACGCAAGTCGGAACACTGAAAGGGTTTTGGTGGAAAAAGCTAGCTATTGCTATAACTATTGCTATAGCTATTGCTAGAGTTTTTCCACAGCTTAAGGCCTGGCCTGGTGCATCTAGGTTCATGCTTTTTCTGTCATAAATCTAATTTCGAATTTCAATCCATCTTTTTCACCCTCACTTGTTTCTCGTCGACATTTCGCTTTCTTCCGATTTGACAGAGAATTTTTCGTGTCTGAATGCCTTCTCCACATGTAGCCGAACACTGAAACATTGCTATTATTTTTGATTATCTTGTTTGGTTTAGATACACTACTGGACAATGAAATGTCATATTTGAAAAAAGATCGTCACTTTCGCGCGTCTGTAACTCCCTTTTCTTTACCGTATTTCTAAATACTAATATTACCATTGTGTAGCCCTTGAAAAGAGCTTTCAGAAAATGTATAACACTAATAGTTTAAGCTCAAAGACAAGGGAGTTACAGACGCGCGAAAGTGACGAGCGTTTTTCAAATATGATATTTCATTGATTTCATTGTCCAGTACTGTATTAGATATGAGCAACTTAACAAAAATATAACTTTTCGATAGAATCATGCTAGAGAGATCATTCCTCAAATCAACAAAGTGAGAGAAAAAAAGAGTTTAAAGATACTGTGTAGAGCACGAAAGAGAGGATTGGGATCGGATCTGTGAAATAGGATCGGAATGATTTCGATTGGCTACCGTATTGAGCTTATAAACTATTGTCTAGAGCACTGGCTTGGTCTAGATTTGGCATTTGGTCTAGACCGGGAGAGGGAAACTGAGGAATGTCGAATTTGTATCAAAATTGAAGCCAAATTTAAGGCAAAAATGATCACAGAAGTTTCGATTCGAATCAATTGGAGCTATTCATTTTATTTTGAATCTGCTAATTATTAGTCTAATCTTTTGATAAATTCGGTACTAAGGAAACATTTCAGGGTTATCGTAACAATGCGACAAGAACCCAGTCACTATAGAGTACTACAGTAGCCAGAGCCAGACGCTACAGCTTTAGTTCTTTTCTATTTCTGGATCCGATCCCGACCATCACTTGTAAATTGTCCCTATTTTTTTTTCATTTCATTTCATTTCTACCTGCTCCCATTGCAAAGCTTTCCATCGTGGGCAATGCCGGAGACGACAACGAATTGTGAAAATCGGTTTTGATTTGAGATCACATCGTGATTCGGTGATGGTTTGATTAGTGATCGAAGAAAGACAAGAGATTGAACGCCTTCGTGAACCTTTTCCACAAGTGGTCGAGCACTGAAATGATAGAAAAGATGAAAAGATGAAAAGAGAGGGAAATGAAAGGGGAAATGAAATGACGTGCTTTTCAGCTTTTCAAGCTTACAATTAGCTATAATAAACAGGTTAGTTTCGTTTCATTTGTTTGTGTAACTCGATTTGTTTTCCCTCAAACTTTACTTATTCTTAGTCGATTATTTTTAGCTAAGATTTATTCCTAAACATGTGATTCCTAAAAAATAAATTCCTTGCGCTCAAACATAACCTTTCTGGCGCACTGAATTCTCCATTTCTCCATTTTTGTAGAAGAATTTTTATGTGACTCGTTACAGTACAGTTTTCTAGATGTACTTGAACTTTGAACTTTTGAAAACGCAGTCTTTCTGGCGTAATGAATTCTCGATTTCTCGCATTGATGTTATGAGAAAAATGAAGCTATTAGTGCACCAGAAAGGATGCGTTTTCAAATGATTTAAGGACAAAGTACACCTAGAAAACTATGTCAGAAGTGATCAGTTACATCAAAACTTTGCTAAGAAGAAAAGTTTTCACTGCGCCAAAAGGGCTGCGTTTCCGTTTTCAAGCACAAAGTACATTGAGGCCAGATATCAGCTCTATCTTTAGCTATAGTTACAGCTATAGTTACAGCTATAGTTACAGCTATAGTCACAGCTATAGTTACAGCTATAGTTTACAATAGCTGCAGTTTACTCTAACAGTTTTCACATGCATTATAAATTGTTGTGTTGTGTTGTGTTGTTGTTGTTGTTTTTTTTTGTTTTTAACATGCATTCTTTTCTGTTGCAGGCAATTTGACGAGGACAAAAAACGACGAGGACAATGCAAAACATACATAGAACTTTTATACGCTCTTCTTTTTTTGACACGAGAAAAACAAAAGGACATACATTGATATTCATGCAATCGACGCAAATGGACAACGACAGAAATTTTTTGGGGAAATCAATTTTGGGAATTTTATTCAAAAGAACTTTAGAGTTTTTTGTTTGTTTTGTTTTCCATAAAACGGACAATTTTTGGGTATTTGGAGGGGTGGTTTGATGGAATGGAATGTCAAAAGAGAAAGGCCTCCAAAAGAAAATTTAAATCAGCTTACTAGGGAGGTGATTTACCATTTAAAGTTTAAAGAAAGTTCATTTTGAAATTCGATGGTAAATCTCTATCTAGTTAGCTTAGATAAATCGAATCTTAAAAACCGCATATTTTAAATAAAAAAAAAAAGGGACCTAAGTCTCTACCGAGATAAACAGAAATGGTTGGAAATTGTGGGCTGGTTTTTGGCTGGTTCAAAAACGTCTTTTTTTCCTTCCACTTTACTTTGAACACTTTTTACTTATTGTTAGAGGTCTTTTTAAATGATTGCATTACATTTTATTTGAACATAAACCTTTTGAGAATTCATTACAATATCTCAATATCACAACGGATTGATGTCCGAAAAGTTTTTATCAAATCTTGCTTATCGAAGCTTAAGTTCAAATTAGGGTAAATCAAAAACTTGTGCGCCGCCGGGGCTCGAACCAGCAACCTTTCGTTTAGCGGGCAAATGTGCTAACCATTACACCACAATGCATCTGAACTCTCTTGCTCCAAAGGGAGTTAACTCTTCTCGAATCTCGAATTTTGACTAACTTTACCTTTCTGTTTATCTTAGTGAAACCTTAAAAAAATATTAAAAAAACTCTAGCTGGCAGTAGTCAAAAATAAATAAAACTGAAAAGTTTAAGAAAAAAAAAAACAAAATGAGATGCGCTTGGAGCGTGAGCGATTTGATGGCAATGAAAAGGAAACGAATTTTCACTAAACAAAACTCGACTCGAGGACAAGTCTATTAAAAAAAAAAAGATTACTTATTGATTCTTAAAATCTTTTCAATATCTATTTCGATATTCTTTTGGTCGCTAATTTCTTTTTTTTGTTTTTGGTTAACACGTAAATCCGCACCGGATTTAGGTAAAAGAGACACGTAAACAAGACAACAGAAAAGCACAAAGAAAAAAAAAAGAAAACAAATTGACTATATTATAAAGTTACTTTTGAAAGCCTATATCTTAAAATCTAGCGATGAATTTGGCTATTGAATATTTTGTTTAGATTGATTGGAAGGAGGAGTGAGGGTATGTACAAAAGGAATTCAATTTAAACTTGACTATCTTTTTTTAAAAATCCATTTTCTAAAAGACATCTATTATAAAAAAAAATGTGGTTGTTGTTGTTGTTGTCCTACCCCTTCCTCTACCGCCTTTCCCCCTTCCATTCCCTCTTCTTTCACCTCTTCTTCTTGTTCGAATTACCGTAAAGCTACTGTAAAGCTTTTTAAAATAGATGCCTTTTAGAAATTGATGAAAAAAGAAAATGAGGGAAGTGAATCGAGTGCCAGAAGGCGGGTGTACAAAGCTGGACTTTGCGATTACTTAGTAAACGCACACCATCTGGCACACTAGATTCAACTACTCTTTTCCAACTACATTACCATCTCAAATGTGAATACATGGGTGGTGGGAGTGTAGGTGGTGATGTTGTTGTCATTGTTGTTGTCCTACCCCTTCCTCTACCGCCTTTCCCCCTTCCATTCCCTCTTCTTTCACCTCTTCTTCTTGTTCGAAGATCTCTATTTCTGAGTCTTCCCTTTTCTCTTACCGCACTCCATGTCCCTGTCTGCCATCGTCCTTTTTCTTTCAATGTTTCTTCCAAAGTGACCCGATTTGATGTGGTTTGATTTGATGAGCAGGCTGATTGATTGCATTTTTTCTTCTCTAACGGTTTTGGTAGAGGACAGCGGGAGTCAGGCACCTAAGAAGACCAAAATAATATAACAAAACTTGTGTAAAAAACAACCAGTTTAATGAGAATTTTCTTTGCTGTTTATATTGATATCTAGGGATCAAACTGATCTTGCTGATTTTTCTGATCTTGCTGATCCATTAGTCAAAAGTTTAGGATAGTTATCAACTCAGCAATGAGAAGTGGAAAAGTTCCAGCAAAAACTGGCATTGCCATTTTGGCAATGCCCCAACTTCAGCTTCAATCAAAACTAGCATTAAAATATGCCCATTAATTGTAGATGTTAATGTTATTCATTACCATCTCTATTCTATCTAATATATACCATAGCTCTAAATTAATCCAATTTCCCAATTCCGCAATCAAACCTTTATCCTGGTCGAGTCTTCTTCACACCAAACTTCTCTCCGCTGTTCACCCTCTCCACAAGTGACCGAACACTGAATATAACATATTTTTATCTCAACTGGCTCTACTTTGAAATCATAAGCTTTCAAGAACGTTTTGTGTAAACCTGTGTCCATGGCGGGATCTGCCACGTGAACGGGATATTCGTTAAGCAGTTTTCTTCTCCGCATGGCTCTGAATCTTTCGGCTTCTTTGTAACATCGCAGAGTTGAGTGGAACAGTCGATCGATCTTGTCCTCCAGCCGCCACCACACGACACCGAACACTACACAACAATCGGTATGTTTACGCATTATAGTAGTTCACATTCGTAATGATAGAACTTTATCAGCTTCTGTACTTATTAGTAATCATAAACTACCTCTTTAGGATTAAAAAAAAGCTACTTTTTGTAGCTGAATTTCTTGACACTGTATAGTTACCGTAATCCATAGTGATATTGACTATCTCTATGCATCTCTATGCATATACAAACCGTATTTGAATAGCTGAATAGCTGAATACGACTACTGTCTAATAGTTACCGTAATTCACTGTAAAAGCCAATATCAAGATCAAGAAAACACTACAATAATAGACAAAAAAAAAGGCAGGTTTGTCTACAAAAATAGACAAACCACACGACAATATTTATCTACAGTATACTAGAACAGTACAATACTTTCCACACAACATCATTTATAAGTTTTCGTCTATATAACAAGTTACAAGCTAAGTTACAAATATTTTAAAGTATTAAAGTACAAATTGAATATCTACCTGTGCCCATGGCCTTGTAATCCAAACGCCCATCGGTGGCTCGGCTTGAGGACATTTTGGAAGGTGACAATCCCTGAATTTTCAAGTTTTATTTAAAGATTTGCTTCAAATATCGCAGTATTGTTAGATTCAAAATTACTATATTTAAAAAAAAACAACCACTACCTTGTCGTGTTTGGTTTATTCGTCGGATCGCAGAACGCCTGTGTGACGTCTCGTGCTCCCTCCACCGTCACACAACGAATCTCTCGTTCCTGATAGACGAGCTCGCCGCAAGTGGATGGACACTGAAATGGGCATTCATTGACAGATAATCATTAACAATCGATTATTGGCCTCAAATTCTCACCGCTTTCCACGATCCTTCCACCCATTTCACACATGGCTTCAACTCGCAACTCTTCTCCGCCTCGACTTTTTCCAAATGCCCACAATAATTCTCCGGAAGATCACGGAATTTGTCTCGACATTTCACCTAAATATTTTGTTTTAAGGATATTTAGAAAACGATACTGAAATAGATTCTAATAGAACTGACTGAGAATCTTTAACGATAAAAGATAATAGAAATTTTTGTAGAATCTAATAGAATCACCAATCGCCTTTGTGTCCCTTTCCCGCATTGTGCTGAGCATTCAGTCCATGATCCAGTTGCCCACCATATTTGTGGTGGCTCTTTTTGTGAATCAATTGATGGCCTTAATGGACACGAATCTCGCGAACATTGCTTCCATTTTTTCGGTTTCGCTTTCTGAATTTGATTCGATAATCGAATTTTGATCTTTTTTTTTACCAAATCACACATTGTCTCGTGAACGGTGTTTCCATTTTGGAGACAAGTTAGGGTTCGTGTTTGATTTCCGGATCCACAAGTCACTGAACATGTTGACCACGAGGATGGGACCCATTCAGCGCATTCGACAACACTAAAGTTAAGTACTTGCTTAGTACTAAAACTATGACACTTATATTTGTGATCTAAATAAACTAATAATCTTTTTAGTTATTTAAAAGCCACTGAAACGGATTTAGATTTGAAAAAGAAAATCTTTAAAGTTTAAAAGAGCAAGAATAATGCGGCTTTGACGATATCTTTTAGAAAACGTTTCAACAGCACAATTGATTGAATTTTCAATCAACAAACTGATTGTTCATTTTAGATAATAACTCACGTGCACTGTTCAACAATGTCCGGCCGTGGAGCTGTACAAAATGAATCATCAACAATCTCATCTCGAACAACACATGCAATCTCTCTTGATCGAATGCCTCGTCCACACGAGACAGAGCACTAAAAGCTTGGATATAAATGATATTAGATTCTATATTTAGGCTATAGAAGCTATAATATAAATATTAATCCATACCGGTCCAAACTGTGATGTTCTCCAGAATGGACAAGGTCCGGGTGCACATTCTCGATGAGTGTCCGGACGAGGGCCAACCTAAAATTTGAATAGTTTATGATTTCTGCTTTTTTTGTAATATTTTCAAAATCATTAGATAAAGATATAGTATTAGATAAAGATATAGTAGCTATTAGATAAAGATTTAGTGTTTAAATTTTTGAGTTTTCTAAAGCCAACCCTTCGAACACATTCTTCTTCTTTAAGCGATCTTCCATCTGAATCTGTACACTCGACGCGTCGCGTTGACCATTGCTCACCACAACTGAAAAAGAAAATATATGCATATGGATAGATTAAAAAAATATTAGATTTCCAACTCAAACAAACAAACCGATTCGAGCAAGCTGTCCACTCGGTGGTTTTCCAATTCGCGCAAGCTCTTCCCGTATCGCATTCCTTTGAGGTAATCCGTTCGCGAATGTCACAACGAGCTAGAAATTGTCTTTATTCATATTTATTCTATAGCCTCTCAAATTACCGTCATCCAGCAATCCCCTCCTTGATCTGCACGTCGCTGTCCTTTGTGCTGTCCCCTTTCCGCATTCTCCATTGCACACTCCCCATTCACCGAATTCCCACCAAACACACTCCTCTTCATTGCATTTCTCGTAGTCTAGCTGGAAAAAGTTACGATTCGATTTTTAAGTCATCAAACTGAACTAAAGCTGCAGGTTCAAGCTTTAAACTGAAACTCTTAGATAGATACTCTTCGATTAGATTACTGGGTCTAGTTTGGTTTTAGATAGATAGCTGTTCCACTCACCCGTGACATGATATTGCATCGATTGAACGGCAACTCTCGATCCTCTGCGTCAACACAAGTGGCTTGACGACGTCGCAGACCACCGTCACACGATTTTGAACACTAAAATGGGTTTTGAATAGATTAGATAAATACTATCATTCTTATAAAGTTGCAAATTGTAAAGCTTGGAATTGACTCACTTCACTCCAAGGTCCGTAACTCCATCGCGGACAGCTCATTCGATTGCATGGCTTCTCGGTGATGTCTTTGCTTCTGAAAGTGATAATATTGTCATTGCAATCGGCATTCTCATTGTCATTAACGTTAGAAGATGAAATTTTCTCCTATTCTAACCTCAAATCACATTGCAGACTATCGAGCGATCTCCCGGATTGATCTGTACAATAAGCGGATCTTCTCGACATCCCCGACTCCCCACAAGAAGCTGAGCACTGAAAAGGATCTCTTTTTGATCTATTCTTTCCCCAACTCACCTCAGTCCATTGTGAATATGTCCAATGTCCGCCTTTTCCTGTACAATCAACGAAACAAGCCATTCTCTCGGATGGTCTACCGCCAAGACTCTCACACTCACGATCATTCATTGGAACTGATCGACGACTGAAAGGTTTAGGTTAGAAAACGTCAAAACTATCAGTGTAGGCTTGCTTTGAAAAATATTACATCGGTGTACTAATAGGTGTCCAATCAAAATCACTTACAGATCAGCATCCTCGACTCGAACACAAGTCACGCGAACTCTTTTCTCTCCACTGCCGCACTTCACCGAACATTCCGACACGTCATCAATTTGCCATCTAAACTTGTAAAAAATCTTACTTTTATCATCTTCTCCTACTTGACTGTACATCCTGTATTGCACGGTCTTCTTTGTGGTGGCGGAGAGGGTCGAATCAAGAGACAATTTCTCTCATTTGTTTGTCGATTCGTCGATCCATCAATGCAAACGTAAGAATGTTGTTGTTCACCTAAAAAAGATTTCATTTAAGCATTTTAAATGTGAAAACCTTTGCATTGTCTATTACAAGCTGTCCATTGATCGGCGAGACGCCAAAAAGCGTGTCCGGTAGTTGGATGACGAGCTGGAGCTGAGGAGTGAGCAGAGTTTGGAGTTCGGAGAATTGTTGTTGTTGGAAGGGTGGTCATGAATTCGTATTGGATATCCGGTGGATTGAGATTTCCCACGGATAGAACGTGCACATAGATGTCGGATCTGGAAAGGTTTAGCTAGGAAAGGAAATTTCAAACTCTCACCTTAACGGTCCCGTTCCATTGATTCTCTCAACGACATTATCACTTCCCGAGTACTCCAAAACGACATCTTGTACCGGGATTTGCAGCCGAAAAACAGATACTTGATAGTGGCCATTCAAGAGGTATTCTCCGGATGCACTTCTCAGCGCTAAATTATGTAAATAATAAAAAATAAAGTCAATCAATACATAGATAATTATCGTCATCTTTCGCTCCAGCCCATCCGTGTTGTCGAATGTCGATATTCGCCGAGCCTGCCGGGATTTTCATCACCTGCAATATATACCAATTTTAAGTTTTAAAGAATCTAATATCCAATAAGAATAAATATTAAACCTCATTATATCCAAAAGATCCCCGCTCGTTGTATTGTCCTTTCACCACTCGACATCCACTTCCGTCACCGCCACAAATCCCACAACGATCTCGTTTCTGAAAAATATCGATTGGCTATTTGTTAGATATGTTATAGACGAAAAATACTATTGATCTATGGATAATCTATAGATTTTCATCCACTAACCATCCCAGAGTCAAGCACGTGATCACAACCAGCACTCCGACACGTGCCGTCAACACAGAGATCGTTCCCGTTTTGATCGCACGGCGTTCCATCGGTCACCTGAATGACAAGAGGTATCACTGAATATTTAACAAGATTTTAAGATATTCAGCTAAACGATTAGCTGACTATCTTAAAGCCTAATAACAGTAAAGAGCCGATTTTCGATTTTCAATCATTTTTTAGAAAACAACGATTATTTTACTGATAAATAGCCTTGAGATGCTGGTTACTGTACTTTTCTTGTTCCTAAAACCCACTTTATTCTTGAGTAGATAGAAGGCGGATACTCCAGACACCCTACAATACAATTTGCATCGTTCATTCGCAGCTACCTCGAATTTTGGAACCCATTGCACAGTGGCCGGCACTCCGTGAATGCCAACATCCTAAAATAAAGATAGATTAGATTATCTAAATTATCTAAATGATCTAAATGATCTAGATTTTCTAGTTTATCCAAAGCTCTCACCTTGTTGTTGAACTCGGAACACTGAACTTCTCGGAAACCGGGTGTATCCCATGGACATTCACCGACATTGCACGAACGATATTGCTCTCGAATCCCCACACAGTACTTTCCGCCATTTGATGGCCTGTCATTTGCATCATTCTCAAATTTTCTATCTTTTTCTTACTTCGGTGAATCGCAATGTCTGGATGCTTTTTGCACTCCTCCTCCGCATGTCCTTGAGCATTCTCCCCATTCTCCCCATTCACCCCATCCACCATCGATCTTTCGGCGACGAGACGCCGTCATACCAACGCATTGGCCCCGATGGCAGAACTAGATTTAAACAGACTCATCGAGTGAATAACTTTTTTTGGCTAATAATTTGGCTAATAATTTTCAATTTTATAGTAAATTCCTCACCATATTCCCACTTTTATCGCACGGCGTTCCATCAGCCCACGGCATATGCTGTGTTCGACATCCAATTTGCACTCCAACATGAAGAGAACACCAGAGACGGCGACATGAGGGCTAAGAAAGTAAAGAATATATAAAAGCAAAAGATCTGATACCATATATGGACACAATTCAGCATGTGGACCGAAGACAAATTTGCATTGTTGATTGACATCATATTTTGAGCCAGGCGGATCCATTTCAAACATTTCATCGTAAAAACGACGCTCGATTGGCTCATCGAAGAGACATTCTGTTCCACTGCGTCGTCTAGAAATTTTAATATTAACTTTTTCTAGAAAATGAGTCAGTTTTAGCTTTAGCAAACAGCTTTTTTTTAAAAACTCACTCTAGAAAACGCTCAAGCATCGCCGCTGAACAAGCTGACCAGCCTAAATAATGATTTTTAAAAAAATTGACAGATCAATAAACAAGATCAAAGATCTAAAAGAAAATTGATAAAACTAACTCCATGGATGTGTATTGTACTCGAGAGTTGGAGCCATAATGTGGAAATTTGCCTGAATAACTTTTATTATCCAATAAAATTATTACCTCATTAAACGGGATAGGCTAATTTGCGCAACTCGTCATAACTTTCTTCTAATTGAGCGAATCTTTATGATTTTGGTTTCATTTTGTTACACTTATTGAGATCTTTTTCATGATAGCAATAATAATCAGAGCCTTGGTTAGTAAATTTGTTGCAGTTGCGTTGCGCGAATAAAGTGGTGACCAAAGTTGGGGGGGGGGGCTACTTTGCGCCAAATTTTTTGCGCAACTCGCCATAACTTTCTTCTAGCTCGGCCATAACTTCTAAGTCTTGTAGATCTCAATAAGTGCAACAAAATGAAACCAAAATAATAAAGATTAGAGAAAGTTATGGCGAGTTGCGCAAACGACCCAGTTGCGCAAATGACCCTGTTGCGCAAATAAAATTGCTGAAATTAGCCTACCCCCATTAAAGAGAGAAAATTAAAAACCTTTGTAAGCGGCATCCATTCACCGCATTTCCTCTCGTCATCGTGTGGCATGTTGAAGCTGAAAAGGGGAAATGTTTTTGAAATCTTCTTTTCCCTTCCACTCACAGATGTGCCAATTCGTGAGCGATTGTGAAAGCAGCTGATAGTCCATTGTCCTCAATAATCGCGCAACTTTTCTCCCAATCGCACATCGTTCCCAACTCGGCCAATCCCAACGTGTCACATTTGCCAGGTCCTCTGAAGATTGGGATGAGTGTACTTTTTAAAATCTAAACCTGTTTTTTACCTGCAAATATCATTCCTCGTAAGCAACACAGCAACATCATGATGATTCGGGCTATCGTCAGCTCGTTCATTGAATGCCGTTTGCCATCGGCAGAAATTTTGCAGACTTTCCTGAGCATTGTTCGTGATTCGAGGACTTCCCTAAAAGGTTTCTTTATTTTAAATACCTTGAATCTTCAAGATTAATCAAGATGATTAATCTAATCTTAACTGTTTCTAATTGAATAGTTCTAATTGGTCTAAATAATAGTTCTAATTGAATTCCTTCAAATCCTGGGTAAAAGGTTCTTTGATCAAACCGCTAAAAGAAGAAATTGCTCGTTTTTTTTGATTACCCTTCTTGTTAAAACAAAGAGCACGTGTTTCCGATTGGATTTTTCTTTTCCTTTTTAACCCGACAGATGTTCAAAACTATAGCTGTAGTGGTTTTGTTTGGATCGCTTTCTCTAACAAATCGTAAGGTCCAATTTAAAGATCTTTAAAAGGTCTTTTTCAAAAGCCTATCAAATTATATTAACCCACGTATTCATGCTGGAGAATGAGGATTCGCACGACGACGATATTGATGGCTGCACGTAGCGAAGGATGACGATAGATTGAGGCAACCTGGAGGGAAACATTTTCAGATTTCAATCTACATAAACTCTTTCAATTTCTAATGACTAAGAGCTTGTGTTGATAAAACTAAACACTAGATTACAATGTAATTTCTAGACTACCTAGAAAGTCTTTCCTTTTTGTACAAAAAAAAAACAAACCGTTGAAAACAGAGTGAGAATGTAATTCTCGAGATGTCTTCCGTGATATTCATGCATTTTTGAATCAGCCACAACGAATACCGAAAATTGAAATGATTAAATAACGCTAATCCATATGATTACGCAATTCTTTAAAGCTTTTGCTTTAATGAATGCTTTGATAATTTCCTGATTTTCCTCACTTCAACATAGTGATCCCATGAAGTAGCTGATCGTCGTGATCGTCGTTGTCTTTCTAAAAATGATCAAATGAAACTTTCAACTTTGGATAGAGATGAGTTTAAAGTTTTTGGTTTTACTCTGAAGACATTCTAAAGAACATTTCAACTCAAACACACCCTTTCTAGATGCTTATGCTTTAGTGAGCCAGAAAGCATTCCTATGCTTTAACTCATCACACAGAACTTTCAATAGATAGTTCATTCAATAGTCTTCTATCAATAGTCTTCTATCAATAGTATTCTATCAATGTTGGATTTGATTTAGATACAAATCCTGTTCTCTATTCTCAATGAGATCATTGAAAAGTCAATTCTTTTCTTGATAAACTAGTAAATAAGTGAGGGAGGGAATGGTTATCTCTCAACGATTTTCCTCTCTTCTTCACTCAAACTTTAACCTTTCTTCTTTCTTTTTCGTGATTGGAAAGTGCAATGGGAAAGAATTTGAGAAAACCTGGGAAGAGTTGAGATTCGTGTGAACGTGGGTTACGTCTTTTCTCCCATCTCCCATCAATCTCATTCTATCTCTTTCCCAACAGAATCTCTCTTCTAGAACTTCTCGCAGCTTTGAACTTTCAACTCTAACAGTTCCCTATCATCATTCTCCAACTTCTCTAACCTATCATCTTCACTTTCAACTCTAACAATTCTATGCTATCTATCTTAGCCGTGCTCTCTTCTTTCCCCCCAGCTTCTACCATTTCAACGTCCCCTTTTCTTTCAAGTTCTCCATTCTATTGTCCAGCTCAATCAATCTATCTGTTCTCCAAGTTTTCTCTACCTCTACATCCATCTCTAGTTGCTCTTTCTTTTCATCCATCACTCTCTCATTCCATCTACAACCTCATTTACCACTTCTCAACTTGTTTCACTTTCCCCTTTCCTCTTCTATCTCTTCTACAACTTCATCTCCATCTCTACCCCCGAGTTTCCCTTTGATTCATCAATCTCTCATTCCCCCACCTCTTCATCACTTCTCACCTTCTCACCTTGCTATCCGTAACTCCTTTCCTTTTCTCCATCTCTTTATCTCCATCCTAATCATTTCCAAACTTTCATCTCCTCTTTCCTTTCCCTCCAATCACGTATTGAGGTCAGCACTGATCGAGTGCTTGCTTGTGTCCCTTTCTCTCGTTTTTCCCTCTTTTTAAAATTTTATTTTCAAGTGCTCCATGTGGCCCATTTTTGAGGGAAGACTTCTTCTTCTTTTCCCTTCCCTTCCCCATTCCTGTCTAATCCAAATCGAGAGGTGCAAAACGTGTGTGAAATGTGTGTGTGTGTGTGTGTGTTTTGAATTTTGCTGACTAGCTCTGACCACTTGAAAGTGCCCGTTTAGGAGTGGTCAAGATTGAAGTCAAGCACAGATTAGCCTGAAAATAAGGCAGAGCACAAAGTACATGGCATTTCGACAAAAATAGGATAGATAACTTCAAAATGTTCACCTTGAGGTTGATCCCATCTGAATTGTTCATAGGTGATGTTGATCGAGTCAATTGGAGAGGAAATTCGATCAGAATCATATTGCATAAAGTTGTGATCCCTGGAAAATGATTTGGGGTCAAATAAACGAAATGTTTTTTACTTGAATTTGTGAATGAGATGTGGTTGCCATCGATGATGTTTCCCAGATTTCTTTCCTTCTTCTTCCAATGGTTCCACCGAATAGACTCCGTCCGGTAACGCCAATAAACCAAACTGAAATCGGAAAGATTAAATGATGGGTACTTGTGGAGTATCCGGGGGGGTCTTTCAATATCCGGGGTGGTAAACTTTTAAGATCCGGGGTAAACAAGATGCACGAGTAATGCAAGAACATAAACCAAACATAATAATTAAATAAATTTGTAAAGTACAACAGTGACTATTTGTAACAGTGACAATAAATACTACTTGTAAAAATCTATCGAATTTACTTCTAGGCCAGGAGGCCAAATATCAACACATAAAACTACCCCAAAAAATGGTTTTGAAGAAAAAAAAGTGACCCGCCAACTAGGATAGTATCAAC